GTGGATTTGCTACAGCTGAAGATTTCACCGAACCTAGTTCATTTACTAGAGCTGAAAATGTCACTGGACCTAGCGTATTTAATGAAGGAGAAAATGTTGCTGGTTCTGAAAATGAACATGCTGGATCCCGAAAAGGTCATAAACAAGGTGAGTATTCTAAAAGATCATCTTCTAATGTTAACGAGAAGGAAAAAATCAAGAAAAGGAAAAAAATAGTAGAGGATGATAATGAGACATTTCTTAAGGGTATGATGGAAGTTATGAAAAACTTTACTGAAAGTCAAGACAAAAGAATTGGTTCCTTGATTGAAAAGATGGGGGATCGTGATCGATCTAATGTTTGTGGTCAAGTTTATTCTATCCTTGAATCCCCTGTATTTGAGTTGTACACCACAGAGCAACGTATAAAAGCTGCAATGATTCTCTGTAAAGATGACAAAAAGATGGAATTATTTTTACGTATGGGTGAACATGATCGTCAGACAATAATGTGGATGGCTGTCCATGATAAACTTTGAAGTACGGTGAACTTGTGATGTAAGTGGCTACACTAGTTTAGTAATTTTTTGCTTGAAAATCACTTCGAAGTGTGACAACAGTGGCATATTTTGACATCTCTGATTATTAATGTGCGCATGAGCATGTTAAATCTTTTTGTGTAACTAAGTTTTATCAAAATATCTCAACTCTTGTGTCAATGCTAAGTGCAGATGTAATTATATAGTTGTCGTTACAGCTCTTCAAATTCTCCTGTAGCCATTTAATTTTGAGATTCTGAAATGCAATTATATAGCTACTATGACAGATCTTTAATCTGTCTTGTATTTCTGTCTTGTTTCTGTTTTTCTTTGTTAATTTCTCTATGAGTTGATGGTTCATAGCTGTTGTGATGCTCACGTGTAATTAGTGAATTTGTAAGAGGAAAAACAGAATCAGGAGGCTGAATAGAAGAAAAAGGTAGTATGTATGAGATCTAGAGAACAACTAGTTTCTGTTATATGACAAATTGTTTGTGTCAAAATGAAACTGGTTCAAACAGCCGATGAAGGATATAGAGGATTCATATAGCCTATCACACTAGTTTGGTATTGAGATCCAGTTGATCATTGATTGGTTGATCCTCTTTTGTTTTTTTCTGTTTTGGGGGAAGGGAGTTACGAGCTCTCTCTTCTCGCCATCTCCTTTCTAAATTTAAGAAAAATGAGTAAATGATTCTGGCAGTAGCAGCTGGAACATTGCATCAGTGGGACAATTAATATGGCAGATTGTAATGAATAAGGAAGCCTTGTGGGTAAAATAGGTACATGAAATTTATCTTAGAGAGGAAACCTCGATATGGAGTCACAGGACACCTATCGATAGTAGTTGGTATTGGAGGAAGCTTAATGCAATAAAGGAACAGATACATGGCTGGTATTGCAAGGGAACAAGTTCCTCTACAGGCAACTGCAGAATCATCAACTGGAAGCAGAGGAGTAGTTGCTGGTGCTGGAATGGCGAAGCAGTGTATTTATTCACCAACAATCCATCCATGCTCGTTTAGGTGCAGGTATCATCATGCTGATTATAAATGGGTTTCTCCACTAGGAAATAAGTAGAATCACTTTGGTGCTTCTGTCGCCAAGGCTCTATGAAAATTCTGCTGTACAAATTCGAATTGTCATTTGTAATTTTTTCATTTTTTAATAAGATGTAGATGATCTTGTTCGTACGTCTCAAATATTTACTATGTCCCAATTTATGTGAAAATGTTACGAGTGTTTAGTTACAAAAAGAGATTTGCAATTATTATTGTTGTGATATGTGAATTTAAATGGATAAAAGATGTATGGAAGGGGATAACACAGTGGACAGGCATAACAATGACAAACAATGGGATTAAACAGGTTTTGGAGAGAACAAAAAGGAAGCATTGGAAACAGTTTCAGAAAGAGACATTTGCAGCTATATGTGGGGCTATTCTCTACCACACATGGCGTGCAAGAAACTGGAAAAAGTTTAAAGGGAAGCATGTACATACAGAGGATTGGTATTAAAGTGAGAATTAATACATCGACTTTGTGCTGCAGGGGTACTTGCCGAAGAGGCTAAAAAGATTGCGTCCACTTATAGCGATGTCATTTCTGTAAACATTTTGGATGTTGAGCAGTGCAAAGAATTGAAAATGGGAGCCTATTTATCTGTTGCTGCAACAGCTACTGAAAATCCTCCTTACTTCATCCATTTATGTTTTAAAATTCTTACTAACGAACGCAAAAGGAAGATACCCTTGGTTGGGAGGGGATTAACTTTTGACAGGTAAATAGATTTCTATCTTCTATTATTCTTACGTTATGATTTGTTGAACGTTTGTTTTCGTGTTCCCTAGTGGTGGCTACAACCTCAAGACTGGAGTTGGTTCGAAGATTGAGCTAATGAAGTATGACATGGGAGGGGCTGCCACTGTTTTAGGTGCAACAAAAGCTCTTGGTGAAATTAGGCCTTTTGGAGTAGAGGTGAGTCCTTCCTTATCATTCATCATTCGAGAATGTATTTACTGGGAAGTGCATATATTCAATTACCATGTATGTTACGTTGTTACGTTGCAGGTGCATTTCATTGTTGCAGCTTGTGAAAATATGATCAGTGGAGCAGGCATGAGGCCTGGTGACATTGTCACAGCTTCAAATGAAATTCATTTTATAAATCTACTAATAATGGAGCTGGCATCTTCTTTTCTTTTTTTTTTTTAAAATCTTATTTCAATATAGTAACAACTATTTAATTTTATATTTGAAAAAGAAGAAGAATAGGAGTAAATAATGTTTTAGCAAAGAACCTTGTTGCAAAGGAAGTGTACAAAGTAAATAAAGTGTGAAGGATATTTTTGTAAACATACATTTTTTTAATAGACATTATGCAAGATTTGTATTTCTAATACATCAAACCAAACAGTGTATAAGAAATAATGCAGACATAACTAATCCAAGCAGTACTAATGCAAGCATTACTAATACACCCTATTTTGCATTATTCTTATACACTCTACCAAACGACCCCTAAGTCATCTCTTTCACTTCTAAACCTCTCACTCCTCTCTCACGACGCACCCCCGCCAGGCGCCCACCCCCACCCATCCCCGACTGGCGCTTCCTTGATCGGCAGCAGGTCGCGCCACCATCCCCGACCGGCGCAGCAGGAGATCGCAGCAGCAGCAGTCGGAGGTTGCAGCAGCAGCGTCCCACCCCCACCCAGCAATGCTATTAGGTTAAAAGAACTATTGTAAGTACTTTGTGTATGATGACTTGAATTTTGAGCTAGAACTAGCGAAATTTAGAAGAATGGAAGAAATTCTAGAAACTCCAGCAATGGTAAAGTCCTGGAATTCTGCTTTTAACTCACATGACCTATCCTGTTTGGTGAAACACTACATGCTAAAGAAATATCCTTCTGGCTGCTGGAATGTTACTCAAATAACATAATGGGATGGTCACTGAAAATGAGTTAGTAGAATTTTTCTAATAGACATTCCTGCTTAGCATATTGGAAAATGGAATATACTTGTTAACTAAGCAGTCTAAAAATGTTGTAGTTAGTACACCAATATTACTGAAAATATCTCTATCTAGGGATATGAGGATCAGGTGTTTCTGTGACTCTGTTTTAGACGACTTGATAAATAAAGCACTTGTATTGGGGAGAACAATAATTTTTAAGTTAAGAACTCAGGAGATCGTAATCCAAATGTGGACTCATTTGTTCCCCATTTACGGTTCAAGTTTGTATGGATCCTTGAGACAACAAAGGAGAATAAATTCGACCAATGTAGAAAGTTATATACAGATGAATCTTGACAATCTTATCCCATCACCTTGAAGCTTTGTATGCTTCCCTTTCAACCTTCTTACAAGGTTCAACAATGCCAACTTTCCTGTAGGTAACTGAGAATGAATTGCACAATTAGGATGGATTGTAAGTTAAAATAAAAAATGAAGTAACTAAATGATTTCGGAAGACACTAAGACACAGTCAATTTGTTTGAATAACAAACTGTTTAATGTTGAGCTCAAGAGGTTCAAGGTATCAAGAAATGATATGGTACTGCTGAATCCTGGTTTAATACTTTTATATTTATGGATGCCGATATACTCCCTCTGTCCCAATTAATGTGTCATACTTTTTCATTATAGTCAGTCCAAAAGGAGTGTCATACTTCCCTATTTAGGACCAATTTAACATTTAACTTCTTTTATTTTACCCTTTTTTTAATTTATAGCCATATAAATATCTAGACTTTTCCCATCGATTTTGGTCAAAGTACCCAAAATTGGTTGATCAAATCGGGCACGGATCCCACACCCATGTCATGTCGACACGGTTGCAACACCAAAAGTGAAGAGTCTGAGCAACTTAGATGAGCTTCAATATAAAGTTGATAGGATGGGGCTAAGTCAATAATCTTTACATAGATTAGGATTAGCCTTGTTGAGTGGACATAAATGTATGTTATAGGGATGAGCCTTTTTGAGTGAACATAAATGTATGTTATAGTGTCAGTCACATGTGTAAATCCCCAAAGAAACATGTTTGCTTTAAAGCTTTAACAGTTGGCCATCTTTGGACAATTTGGGAACCAAGTACCGGTGGTAGTGAAAAGGATATGATTGTCAAGTAACTTTAATTTGAAATTTTCATGGTGCAAGGACTTGGATGACCACTAAAGAAATTTTCAATTGTTTCTTTTCTTGCTAGGCAACTGAGGAGGCTCAACATCTAAAAGAGTTGATACAAGACTATACTACTTTTTTCATCAAAGTAAGAGATAAGGTTTGGTGTTTCTAAATTACTAAAGTTCAAGTACAATTGTTTTTTATAATGTGTTTGTGTCCATCTAGTATTGGTACTTACCTTTAATTTTGTAATAATTTGTTTGTGTTCATCGAGTGTTTGTTTAGCACAAGTACCAACACTAGTTGATCCTATTGATGACAAAATTGATTTTCTTGCAAGATCGATTTGTGTCCATCTAGTGTTGATATTAAGCTTTAATTTAGGAATAATGTGTTTGTTAAGCATAAGTACCAACACTAGTTGATCCTATTGATGACAAAATTGATTTTCTTGCAAGATCGATTTGTGTCCATCTAGTGTTGATATTAAGCTTTAATTTAGGAATAATGTGTTTGTTAAGCATAAGTACCAACACTAGTTGATCCTATTGATGACAAAATTGATTTTCTTGCAAGATCGATTTGTGTCCATCTAGTGTTGATATTAAGCTTTAATTTAGGAATAATGTGTTTGTTAAGCATAAGTACCAACACTAGTTGATCCTATTGATGACAAAATTGATTTTCTTGCAAGATCGATTTGTGTCCATCTAGTGTTGATATTATACTTTAATTTAGGAATAATGTGTTTGTTAAGCACAAGTACTAACACTAGTTGATCCATCTACTGTTGACACTTAGCTTTAAATTTAGTTTTGACTTGTTTAGTTGTTGAAATAAGTTCAAATGAAGTTTAATTAACCCCTAGCTAGTTTGACTCATTATTTAAAATAATGTGGTTTAGTTGTTGGAATTAAGTCAAAAACTAGTTAGAGTTAATCTTGTTTAGTTGTTGAAATAAGTTCAAATGAAGTTTAATTAACCCCTAGCTAGTTTGACTCATTATTTAAAATAATGTGGTTTAGTTGGTAAATTTAGTTGTTGGAATAAAGTCAAAACTAATTAGAGTTAAAGGTGTTTAGTTGTTTAAATAAATAATGTGGTTTAGTTGGTGGATTTAGTTGTTGGAATAAAGTCAAAACTGATTAGAGTTAAAGGTGTTTAGTTGTTTAAATAAATAATGTGGTTTAGTTGGTGGGTTTAGTTGATGGAATTAATTCAAAACTAGTTAGAGTTAATCTTGTTTAGTTGTTGAAATAAGTTCAAATAAATAATGTAGGTTTAGTTGGTGGATTTTAGTTGTTGGAATTAAGTCAAAACTAGTTAGAGTTAAAGTTGTTTAAAAAATTTCAAATAAATAATGTGGTTTAGTTGTTGGAATTAAGTGTTGGAATTAAGGCAAAACTGGTTTGAGTTAATATTG